CTGAAACAAAGGAGGTTTTGCCTGAACGTAAGGAAGTACTTCACTGTGAAGGTGACTGAGCGCTGGCACAGGCTGCTCGGAGAGGCTCTGGAGTCTCCAACCTTGGAGATGCTCAGAAGTTGCCTGGACATGGTCCTGGGCAGCTGGCTCTAGGTGGCCCTGCTTAAGCACGGGGGTTGGACAAGATGATCCCCAGAGGTCCCTTCCAACCTCAACCATGCTATGAAATAAAAACTGCTTTATGCACTGACAACTTGGGGGATTAGTTGTATTTATCATATGGGGAGAACTCATGGTCATTGGAGAATGTTAAACTTGGACAAAGGTATACATTAATGACCTTGGTAACGCAAAAGTATCCCTCTCCAGAAAAATAAGAACTGAAATTCAATAAGGACAAACTTAAGTTCAGAGATAAATGTTGGGTTGAAGAATTTAAGTAGCATATCTAGTCAAGAATGAAAACAGTTATGTAGGCTACTTGACAAATGGATTTTTTTCAGCATAACTTTTCAGACGTAATGTTGTGAAAAGCATATGCAGACAAAAAAGCCAAAGTTTCCTTTTTTGGTCTTAAAGAGGCTGTGAGCATCTGTTTAATGTTGGGGTTCTGATACTGGACATATGCTTGTGCCCTGCCCCTGTTTTCAGCTTTCTAGCTGAGGCTAATTCCTGTTGTCTTAAGGAAGGAGGAACCATTTTCAGATAAAGAATAGATACTGCTGGTGAAGAAATACTATGAAATTTCTACAGTCAAAGCTTTCCAAAATTACTGCAGCCCTGTATGAAAGCGCAGCAAAGCTGTGCTTCCTGGCGGAGTCAGGTCGTAAGGACAGTAGTATGCAGTAGTCTGAGTTGTCAGGACGCCGCCGAGTTTCCAGGCTGTTTTTCACAAATGGTGTTACAAAGACCCTCAGCAGTGTCCAGATGATGTTTGTATCTATCCCTCTCAAATACAGGAAATGCCATCATTTGTATTTTGCAGAAAAACTGTTCTGACAGCAGCTGTAATTTCTAATGTATCTGTAGATATTCTCCGATATTGACTGGAAGCCTTGGATATGATACAAGGTACTTGTCAGCATATATGACAGTTCATCAAAGTGTATCGAGAGCGAGAGAAAAAGTGATGATTGAACCTCAAATCATAGGTTATCTTGGCTTTATTTCCAAGCCTCCCATTAGAGTTGAGAGTCCAATTTCAAGCTCTTTCTTTAGGATATATATTGGAGGGGGGGGGAAGGACCATCGGTTATGTTTCCTCAGTCATTGTTGAAAATGTTGGTGATAGATTCCATTTTGTTAGAAAAAGGTTGTAATACTTTCATCTTTTTAGTCAAACCTTCACACTCCACCCCACCCATCCTCCAAATAAATAAAGATCTACCTGACCTGCAGCTTTTCATCAGATTATGGCAAAGCTGTGTTGAATAGGAGTGATGTTATGTTGTGGTTTAACCGCAGCTGGCAACTAAGCACCCCATAGCTGCTCACTCACTCCCCCCACAGTGGGATGGGGGAGAGAAACGGAAGGGTAAAAGTGAGAAAACTCATGGGCTGAGATAAAAACAGTTTAATAGGTAAAGCAAAAGCCGCACACACAAGCAAAGCAAAACAAGGAATTCCTTCACTACTTCCCATCGGCAGGCAGGTGTTCAGCCATCTCCAGGAAAGCAGGGCTCCATCACACTTAACGGTGACTTGGGAAGACAAATGCCATCACTCCGAACATCCCCCCCCTTCCTTCTTCCCCCAGCCTTATATGCTGAGTATGACATCATATGGTATGGAATACCCCATTGGCCAGCTGGGCCAGCCGTCCTGGCCACACTCCCTCCCAGCTTCTTGTGCACCTGGCAGAGCATGGGAAGCTGAAAAGTCCTTGACCAGTGTAAGCACTGCTCAGCAACAACTAAAACATTACTGTGTTACCAACATTATTCTCATAATTCAAAACATAGCACTATACCACTTAATAGGAAGAAAATCAACTCCATCCCAGCCGAAACCAGGACGTGTTAAAATACACTTTTTGGCAAGATGTGGAAGATGTATACCTTCTGGTCCCTTTTCTGGTCCCTCTTGAGCAGTGGGGTTGGACAAGGTGACATCCAGAGGTCCCTTCCAACTTCAAGCATTCTGTCATTCTGTTACTTATGGATGACTACTTGTGGTTTTGTTGGTTTTTTTCCTCCATTCTTGTTTTGGTATTGCATCTTTCCCTTTGTTTGTTACCCTTTGGCATCACCATGGCCCAGGATTTATACAGTGATGTTACTTGCTTCCATGAAGGAATGATTTTGGGGGGGGGAAGAAGGGGGAAGGGGGTTTCCTCAAGCTTTGAACTGTCGAAAGAAGTCGTCTTTCCAAAACCAAAGAGTAATGCAAAGTGCTTCAGTTTTGCAAGGATCCGTAGTTCTAATATAAGTAGGGAAAAGCTACATTTATAATAACCATTTGAGAAATCTCACCTCTGAATAGAAACGGGGATGTAAATTTTTAGGACTTTTGTTTCTAAAGAGGAGATGTGAGCATTACAATGGGGCTGTAATGTAGCTTCTGCAAAATATGTCCTCATTATTGTAAAGGATACTTGACTAATTTGTTTCACTGGGCTTATATGATTCCATTTCTGTTGTCTATTCTTCCTCATACCATGTTTCATGACGCTAAGAGCCAGATGAGCTTTATAAAGAAAAAAAGTTACAATTCGGTAGCAGAAGCAAGTTGCTATCACGCTGGCTTTTGTGACCTCTCTGCTTCAGCAATGAATCTTGAGAGCTTGATGAGAAGTGAGCAGTGACAGAAGGCTGAAAGACAGAAGGCTGTGTGATGGGCTCAGCCACTAGTCTTAGGGCTGCCTCGGAGCTGTTCTGTGTCAGGGCAGAGCAGCTTGAGGAGCTCTAATATGTGCTGCCGGTTTGAATCCGGAAGCAATGCCCCAGGTCTCGAAAGTCTTGGGCAGTGTTAAAATGCTGATTGCTGAGCAATCCCATTAGAAGTGTCTCCAGTAGATGTGCTGTCAGTAATAGCTTCCCCAGTTTGAATTCACTGGACAGAACAACAGAAACACAGTGCTCACTGGATAGAGGATAGAGCAGTTTCGTGTTGGTCCCATGTGCTTTGGTGAATACTGTAACACAGTTGTACAGATCGGCATGCTGGCCTGTGCTACTGAACTGTTGCAGTCACGCCTGAAAAAGGCGTGTATCTTCTAACAGGGAGGGTAGGAGAAAAGCTCTAGCTACCAGAGTTCTGCAATTTAAAGACAATTGTTGTGGCTAAGGAAACCCAAATCTTAGCTACTGCTGCTTAGGCAAGTTTTAGCAGTTTTCACCAAAAAGTGTTTTGGTTTTTTTCCTCGAGAAAATTTAACCTCATGAACGAACTTTCATCATACATGACAGGAGAGATCTCCTCTTTCTTACAAAAGAAAAAAATCTAAGAGGAATAGGTAGAAGCAGTCTGCACTACTAGAAGGCTCTGATAGTATTAGTACTTTTCTGTGGTTTGCTCCAGTTCCGTTTTTTCTTCATCTCTGGGACTCTTTTTTTCAACCATATCAGCACGTAATAGATTAGGTATATGAGGTTTCATTTATGGAAGAAAGAGAGGACTGGGGAAGGGTACCTCCTTTTGTGGCATCTAGGAGTGTGTCCAGAAACTATTTCATTGGGTCTGAGCTAGGCTGAAGTTCAAATATGTGTGCCAAAAAAATTAGTGCAAAACTCTTGAAATGAGATCGTAGCTCTTGATTTTTTGCTGGAGGCTGGGGACTAATACAAGGTTACTGTTGTGGTTTAACCTGGCAGGCAAGCCAAATACCACGCAGCCACTCACTCACTTCCCCCTCCCCAGTGGGATGGGGAGAGATTCGGAAGGGTAAGAGTGAGAAAAACTCGTGAGTTGAGATAAAGACAGTTTAATAAAACAGAAAAGGGAGAATAATAATAATAATGATAATACATACAAAATAAGTGATGCACAATGCGATTGCTCACCACCCGCGCTGACCGATAACCAGGTAGCGATCGGTACTTCCTGGATCACGCCTACCATTCATATACTGAGCATGACGTCACATGGTATGGAATACTCCATTGGCCAGCTGAGCTGGCTGTCCTGATTATGTTCCGTCCCATCTTGTGTACCTAGCTCAGTCAGTAGGCATGGGAGCTGTCCTTGGACTAGGAGGGTACTTAGCAACAACTGAAAACATCAGTGTGTTATCAACATTCTCCTCATACTAAATCCAAAACACAGCACTAGGAAGAAATTTAACCCTATCCCAGCTGAAACCAGGACAGTTATGTACTTCGTGTTGAGAGCAAGTGTTTGCATAATGTATATTCTACAGGAGGAACAAAGTCTCTTTGTGATGGAGTGTGAAGTGTTTCTTAATTACATCCTTATTTCATTCTTCTAGGCTTCATAAGAACTCAGATTCTTTCCAACTGACTCATTCATTTGAACTCTTCTATGCATCATCTTACCATTTAAAGGCCTTTACTTGGTAACAGTCTCTGTATTACTGTATGAGTCTCTCTTCTAATAGATCTGACTCCTCAGTTGCAAAATAACACACTCTGGAGTTCTCTGCAAGAGTCCCCTTTCCTCTGATGGCCATTTTTAGTGTAATTTCGAGCTGTTACAAGCTCTAAGCAGCCTATCAGTAGTTAACTGATACGTACCTTGTAGAGAATGATGAGTTTTAATAATTCAAGATAAGAATTTTCTATTATATCTGGGAAGAAATTTTAATTATTTCCAGAATATACTGAACTGCTTGGTGCTTACATTCAACTATGCATGTGGAGTGTTTTCTTCGGCAGCTTTTTAGTTTTGGACTTGTGGCCTGTTTTGAATTTTGTCATGTTGAAACTTGCAGCTTTTTGCTACTGCAGAAGTTGCTTCCTGGAATACTATTATTAAAGAAAATGCTATGTATTAATAAAATGTATACTCAAAAATTATGTATTTTGACTTTCGTGTCTTCACAGAACCATTCTCATGATCATTTACTAGACACTAGTGACTCAAGAAAACAGCAAGCTAATCAGCACAACTACCGTACAAGATACGCAGTAGAAGAAACTGCAAGGCCTGCTGAAGAGTTAGAAAATGGGCACAGTTCCTCAGATGTAAGATCCTTATTCATGAGGCAAACTTACATTATATATTCCATTTCTAGTCGTTAAGCTCCTTCTTCAGCTAATAAAACATTGTTTCTAGTGGAAGCTCAGGTTATGTTTTTCATTGTGCGTTCTCTTCACCTCTTTTAAAAATTGATGTTGAATTAGGTTTTCACATGCTGTTGTAAGTGTTTACACGTTTTGACTAGAAAGTAATTGACAAAAGGGAGAAATGCTCATTGGTAAGGGCATTTTGCAAAGTAGATGTGTGCAATGTTAAATCTTCCCTATATTTGTGAGCTTAATCAGTATGGCCCATGTGGCCTATCAGTATGGTCACTGACTCTAAGTGGCCCTGCTTGAACCGGGAGATTGGCAATACGATCTCCAGAGATCCCTTCCAGCCTCAACCATTATGTGCTTCTGTGGCTGCAGTGGAGAAATGAGTAATAAGAGTGCATAAGGTTCGTACTGGGGTTGTTTGATATTAATTGAAAAGATGAGGAAATACTACATTAAAAAGGGCTGGAAATAATTTTCAAAAAGGTAAGCTAGCCTTGTTAAATGGAGACTGAGAAGCACTCAGGTCTCCACTGGCTATATGTTAAAAAAAATTTGCTCTACTCTGTGCATCTCTCCAGGCATAGATATTTTCTTACTTCTTTGCATTTAATTAAGTCCATTAAAGTAAGTAAGTATCTGCAAACTAAAATGCCTTTTTAACAACGTAAAGCTTTTTATAATGCTGTAAGTTTATAACACGTATAAAGCCTAGAAGAGTCTTAGTCATATTGTCAGGTATTAAAACTTAAATTTTGAGTTCCAAAGAAAATGCTTTCTTTTTCCCTGCCTACCCTCCCCCGCCATTAGGAAGGGGAAGTAGTTGTTGCCAGTGGTGGAACATCAGAAGATGACGAAAGAGCATGGCACAGTGATGGCAGTTCTAGGTAAGTGACAGTATACCTTACAGAGAGGAGTCCTGCTGATAAATTTTAAATAATCGTCTCTATAAACAGTTAATTAGTAATAACTAAAACTTTTGCATGTTTAGAAGAAAAGATGGAAAAGAACTCAAAACTTTCAGGATTTCATTTTCAGCTATATTACTAACCAAAATTCAGGGAAGGTTTCATCCTTATTTGCCAGAAGCAGAATTGGTTCCGATTGGTTTTGCAGGAGGGTTATTTGCAGGCACGCGCATGCTTCAGGCATGTGGTAGCAGTTTCCTGTAAGTGTCAGTCTGAGCTGTGTGACTGCCTCTGCTGACCCTTCGTTTGAACTTAGAGAGCAAAGATTGAGGTAGCTTCAACCCATCCGTTGATTCCTCTTTAGCAGATTTTTTTTTGTTAACTTTTGTTCAATGCTATTCGAAACCAGAAGCCCTGAGAACAATATCCAGACTTTAACGTGTTATCTTGAATTGACAAGTGAACAGTGGATTCACTTCTAGTGATGCTACGAGTTAACCTTCTTAGAAGACTGAATGATCTCAAGGCTTTTGGTTTACTACCTTTTAAATTGTAGATAGAATATAGGGTTTTAGGCGCTGGTTTTAACGATTGAAGTATTGTAATTATCTAGACTGTTAACTATAATCTTGTATTGGGTTGTATTCTATAATCCAATGCACTCTGGGTTGTTTTTTAACTTTTGTTTTTTAATTTTTTTTTTCTTTGGTATATCATGTGTAGTGACTACTCTAGTGATTATTCTGACTGGACAGCAGATGCAGGAATCAATCTGCAACCACCAAAGAAAATTCCTAAAATTAAAACAAAGAAAGCAGAAAGTAGTTCAGAGGATGAAGAAGGACCTGAAAAACAAAAGAAGCAAATTAAAAAGGAAAGGAAAAAAGGGATTGAGGAGAAAGATGGACCATCAACATCACCAAAGAAGAGGAAACCCAAAGAGAGAAAACAAAAGGTTAGATGCTCTTTGTATATTACAGGATGGTCACTCCTATTGTCTTAGAAAGAATTAGATTAATGATTCAGTTATGTATACAACTTAATATTGTCTAATTTGAAAACACATCATGACTTTTACTAGTAATAAATGATAATTACTGACTCTTGAAAGTCAAATGATAGATTGCTATAATGATACACTTTCTAAATATGATGCGTTTTACTTAAGGAACACCTTTAATGTCCTTAACACCATCTTTTCTCAGACCAGAAACTTCCTTTCTGTGGATTTGTTGAGTATTGGTATAACATGTGCCTGTATTTTTTCAGCTGTACTGACTGTGTTCCCGCTTAATTGCTATTTGTTTTAGGTCTGCACAATCATGTCATTTTTTTCTGTCAATTCCATGATGCATGATATTTGCATTGTGCTTGCCACTGTACTTCCAGCAAGGGGAGTTTCACTTGATCCAGGGTTTTGGTTTTGTCTGTTTGTGTTTTGTTTGCTTCTTCATATAACCATGCCATTCCAGTTTAGATCAGTACATGGAAAATTTCAGTGACTTTTGTTATTTTCAGTGTGTTGTGGGTTTGGGGGGGGTTGTTTTGTTTTTAATTAAGTGTTAGATCAGAAGACTTGGGTTCTTAATTCTTTCTTCGCAGATACCAGAAGCGATCTATCTGGTTGATGCTAATTGCTATCATAAGCTCATAGCTTCTATTTTTGCGATACCCAAGGAAACCAACTTTATCATCTAAGTAATTAAATAACTGTATTTTGTTTATTTATAAGATTAGGAGTCCTCAGCATTCCTTAAGATCATTATTTCAGCATTTTGGCCCTTTTTAGAAGGTAGACTGACAAAACAGCCGTTTTACTATGCAGGTTGGCATTGTATCAGCTTTACTGTGAATCTTCGTAAGTGATTGATGTGAATCTTTACTGTGAATCATGTAAGATATGCGGGATGTTAGGTGGTCGTCTTTATTCTTTGATGAGGTTACTTTTTGCTTATTGTACACAGTCGTTGGCTGTATTGTCAATACTAATAGTATCTTGGTATTTACGCAGTCTGAAACCAGAAGAAGGTATGAGATCAGGAAAATAGATGGTGGGTTGTTTTTTTAATGGTTGAAAGCTCTAGTTTAGCTTTTTATTATAAAATGTAAGACTGGCTGACAGCCTAGCATTTCCACTTTAATCTAAAGCTGAACTGAGTGTTTTGGGAATCTTGCATCCATTTTGGTCCCAGTTATTGAGATGCAGGAGGTCTTTGATTCCAAAAGTATCAGACTTAAATATTTCAGATTTTTAAAGATGTCCTTGAATCACAAGAAAATAAAGGCTGGAAGGAATATCAGAAAATCATCCCTCTTCCCTCTGCCCCTAGGTAGGATTAATTATACCTGTCATTCCTGACAGATGTTTGTCTTTGAAGTTTCCTGTGGAGATTCTACCTCCTTCCTGGGCAGAGAGCCCGCAGTCCTTACTGGTAGAAAGTTCTTCCTGTTTGCTGAACCTGAATCAAAATTAGGGCTTTCCATTGAGGAAAGAAGTTTTGATGATCTTTGTAGCCAGGCACAGAATCTTAGGAATTAAGAAAGGAGTAGAGAAAGAATGTCATTCTCTCTATTAATGCATGGGCTGTCGAGATCTTGAATGGTGCTTGCATTTCTAATCCCCCTTCACCAAAAATCAATCTAAAAAATGATACAGCAGTGAAGAAGGGCAAGAAAGGAGCCCCCAGGAAGATCAAAGGGTACAGAATATTTTTTCTTTGGGGCAGACACAAAGAGGCTGACTCTTAGAAGGGCGAGAGTTTCGTGGAAATATGATAAAAAATCTTTTATAAAACTATGAACAGTTTAGAAATGAATAAATGCACAATGATTTCCTTCCTTATTTTGTTACAGTGAGATGTAACACCCAATGACACAGACATGAAGCTCAAAAAAGAGCCCTTTCCCCATTCATCCCTCACCCCCCAAAAGCAAACAAAAAGCCCAAACCACCTGAGCATGTAATCAGGTTGTGGAACTAATCACTAAAGGATTTAGTAGAGTTTCAGAAATGATTAGACAAATTCACTGGGACTAGTTCTCTTCTGATGATTAACTGGGATGACCTGAGTTCAGGCTTGGCTTCCAGAGGGTCTTAAACTGATAATTAATGTATGAAGTTGTAACAAGGGAAGATTTTCTATTTAAAGGCTATTTCTTACTACCTTCCCATAATTCACCAATAAGCTAGACAGATTTTGCTCTGACACAGTGCGTAAGTTTTTCACAAGAACCTGAAAATCCAGAGTATGCTTCTATGTCAGCGATTTATTGCAATGGAGAGGTTCTGTTTTGATTTTTTTGTTTGTTTGTTTTTAACTGTGTGTATGCTTTTTCCTGTAATACACACGGGTGCTCCAGTGGTGCACTCAACAGCAGTTTGCATCCTGGGAAAACCGCATTTGAGTTTGTGCAATGGAGTTACACTTGGAGTATCCCATTTGCAGTCTGGGGATGCAGAGTCTTCCATCAGTGGCTATATGGAGAGGATTTCTGTACAACCGTCTAAGGTTGCTTTCTGTATGTGCACAAGATTCTGTTAATAATTTCAAAGCAACCTTGCTTGGATGGTTGTACAAAAACTTGCTTTATCTGGCCTATTAGGTATAGACATGCAATATGCACCTAGGACCAGCAACTTGCAGTGAGCTTCGTTACTTATAAATACATGATGTGGACGTACAATCTGAAAATGCAGTTCCACAGCACATTATAGTAAACATACCAGTAGGTAACATGGATGTACCCAATTGGGTACCCAGTCATTTCCACATGCTTTACCTCTGTTTATGTTCGTTAATCTCTTCCTCCTCATTTTGTAGGGTTCCTTAATTGGAGGCAGGGGTATAGTTGTAGTGTCTTATGGACCAAGGCAACTCTGTGAATTTGGTTAAAGAGAATGGCATGTTGCTGTTCTGTCTTTTTGGGCGTGAGACATAGTTGCTGGAGTGTTAATAAATTCAGTCTTTGTTAGAAGACACACACGCACACCCCCCACACCCCCTGCCCCAAACCAACAAACTAAAAAAAAACCCTAAAAAAACCCACTTAGTTTTTCAGATTATTAATGTTTTTGGTCTTGGTGTTACTGTAAGCAGTTAAGTAAGATTTATCTTCACACTGGCAATAATTTCCTTTTTACATTAAATATACTTAAGAAATGGCAGTTGATTTTAATAAAACACTTCCCAAAATACAAGGCTTCCCCAAATGTTAGTTTATGCATATTAATCTTCTGTGTGCATTTTCTTCAGAGGCTGGCTGTAGGAGTTCTGGCAGAAAATGGCTTGACACTGGAAGAATGGCTTCCTTCAGCATGGATTACAGACACTGTTCCTCGTCGATGCCCATTTGTGCCACAGATGGGGGATGAGGTATTGTAGTTTTTCCCTGTGTGTTCTTGCTTCTTTCAACTTGTTTTTGCCTTTATTATTTTCATCTGTGCATTTTTTCCAGAGATTTAGTACCATTTATTATCAGAATATTTTGGATTTTCTTCAAAACATTCTTTGATCTGGCTAAAATTTGCTTTCGTTTCCTTTAGTCTTTTCCATACTTAAAAAATACTCTGCACAGTGTTGCTTTGACTTCTTTTTATTCCATGCTGTTGCAGTAACATTCCTTCTTGTACTATGTTCAGTGTGTTACATGACACGTGTATAGAAGCTGTGTGAGATGTTTTATCTAGTGAAACTAGTCCTTAGTTGTAGAGCATCTTGTATGCTGAAGAGAAATGAAATATGAATTTAAGTTGTTTGGAAAACTTCAGTTTGTGACTTGATGTAAAAACCAGGAATTAAACCTTTGGGGAGAGGGTGGTTTTCTTGTGTTGTTTTTTTTTTAAATTCATTTATTCTGAAGAAAATCTCTTATATTGTCCTTTTCACTTGTGTTTCTGATATCAGAAAACTTCTGCTGGTCTCTTACAACAGAAAACCACAAGAGAAGTTTTGTATGTATGTATTTTATACAAACTAGACTGTAAACACTTCGTAAACATGGCCCAGATGTCTCAAAATACAGTGGCAAAAGGACACCCACCAGTTTTCTACTTTGAAATATATAGCATGTGAACATTACAATGAATTGTATGAATAAGTAGTATCAGATAGAAGGCAATCTTGAAAACCAGATCCTGTGCGTGTTTCCTAAAATCCCCTCAGGTTAAAATAAGAGGAAATAGCTGACTTACGCTGTAATGTGTAGTCTGTTGGCTCTTCAGGGAGCGGCGTGTTTCTGAGGTACTAAACAGAGTTCTTGTATAGCTCACACGGTCAGAATTCAGTTGGAGAAATACTTGACATGGTGGCAAAGTTGATTAACTTTGGTCTTGAGCTGGAGCTGTTTGTTTGTAGGTACCATCTTAGAAACTGAATCAGGAGCAGAGGTTGCATGTGCAAGCAGTTTTGTTTTTACTGGATCACTTCACTGATACAGTTCACAGCACAGCTATGCAAAAATTACATCGGCATTGCTAGTGAGTGAGGGAAGGAGCACTTCAAGTTGAGAGTTGCAACTGGAGAAAATGCTTATGTATTTATACCCTCCAGCAAGCATGTTTTGGAGACTGTGCCGTTCAAAAGATCAAGTCCAAATAAATATATTTGGTGCCTGATACCATCTGGATACAGTGAAGCAGCCAAGGATTTATCTGTACCATATTACCCAGGAGACTTGAACATCGTATCAGTTTAGTAAGATAAACTGGTGTGTTTGGTTTGGCACCTGCTGAATAGCTTGTGCAGTGTGTACTAGGAATATCTAAGTAGGCTGCATTCTTTTGCTGAAAAATGCTTTATATTGGTGAACAGGAAATTTCCTGTCCTGTGCCTAGAAAGTAGGAGTAGTTGCACCAATAGAGAGTACTTTTGTAATCAAGCTGCTCTGTCTAAAATTCCATCTCTGATACTTGCCCTCCCCAGATTTGCTTAAGATGTGAAAAGAAGCTAGCTATTCATCTAGAAAGTTACTTTGAGACTCACAGAAATAAAAGATAGGTTTAATTAGAGAAATATGATGAGAAGAGGTCTCGTGTGGCCTTCAAACATTATGGTGGACAGTTGGTATGTTTTATAAGATTTGGGAAGAGAGATACTTCAAATTCATTCTCTTATAGCTGTACAAACAAGTAAGAAAAAACAGTCGAGCTATATTTAGTTATACTCGGTGCGTAAGAATAGCATGTACCATCCCTTTTCGCTGAATACTGCCATTTACAGACCTTTGTTGTGGGTCTTGAGGAACAGTGGAAACACACCAGAGAAATGGGACTGCAATTTCCCTGTCTGATTATCAAAATACAATGCCTATTCTTTGTAGTATTCTGCCGTTAACACATTAATGAATGCTTGTGTCTGATACTACAGCAAATATGCAGAAGCAGAAATTTATCAAGATTAAAAGTACAATTTCCTGGAAAAGGCACAAATTCTTTTTTCCACAGATACCTAATTTGTTCTTCTGACAGAAGATGCAATGCTTAGAGCCATTTACAAAATAAAAATGTTTCACTTCTGTAAACAGAATTTATGTAGAGGTTTAGCAGAAGCAGTAAGTGTAGGAGGAATTGTTCATAGCCTGTGCCACTAAGTTGATTTCACTGGAAGGTATGGGAAACAATTGTCACAATTTTGAAACTGTAATTTAAATTGGCATTATTTTAGATCTCTCAGTAGCCTATGTTCCTTTTCCTGCCAGTTAGATTCTGACAGTGCATAGGAGATTCTCACGGCTTTCATGCCTTCTGTAACTACTGTGCATTTTATGTGCATGTCGAATCCTCTGAAAAACAAGAGTTTAAAAAAATTGTGGTGTGGAGTGAAGCTGAAGAGCCCTTCTCGATTTAAGAAAAAAAAATTTGCCATGTGACATTAAGAAAGTTCAGTAACTGTTAATGTAGAAACTTGGCAGACGCTTTTTTATAATGTTTTATGATACAGCAGTTTTGGAAGGCATGTGGAAATACAAATATTAGTGTGTTTATTTGTATAAATGTATTTAAAAACTTACTTTTCATTCTGCTTTTTTTCTTGTGTTAGGCCTTTACATTTAAGCTATTGTTCCGTCATCCTACTTGATGGAATCCCATGTTTATGGCTTGGGGCACTTTTAGAAGATTTTTTTTATTTGGAATGCATCATACCTGGAATACAGCTGTTTATCAGATCTTTGTTCTAATTAGTTTGAGAAACCTCTGTGTTGCATTTCAGATATATTCCTTGAATATATGTTTAAGGTTTTCAGCTTACTACTTCATTACAGTGATGGTTTATAACAAAAACATTCATCCACATGGTATCGTATACAACAGGATCAAAGTAAAACTAATATACTCTGGATGTCTGAACCATGGCAATATGGAAGGATTTGAAAATTTTTAATAAGCACTTGAAATGTCTGTTTTCAGTTTGTTCATGTCTTTGTTAGGCTCTTTGTTTGGTGATGCGGAAGCAAACACCAAAATCTTACCAGAACAATAACGAAGAGCTGAATTTTCCTTCTAGAATATATTTCTTGTTCAAAAAAGATATGATTAGCCAGGTAGTGAATGTAGTGATACTTGATTGTCATCTTAGGGCTGTCCTACAGTGATGAATAACTAGGTGGATTAGTGGAATTCATGGTACTGTCATTGAATTGTTCTACAGTGCAATGTTTTTGTTACTGATTTCGTTTTGGTCTCGCACGTGTAATTTAGGATATTTTGTTCACAGGGAAAAAGTGAGCAAAAATAATTTTAAATCTTTCCTACTTTCTCTGTAAATGTTTATACGATACCTGCTTTAATTGTCCACCACTTAATTTTTTGAGAACCTGTGACTTTTGCAGGAAAACAGAGAGGAAAAAAGTTGATGATAGAATAGAAAGTACATGCATTGTATGGCAGCAATATGCTAGCATTTCAACCCCTCAAAGTCTTTGTTAGATAACTGTCACATTTCACTTTTAGGTCTACTATTTCCGACAAGGTCATGAAGCATATGTTGTAATGGCTAAGAAGAACAAAATCTATAGTATTAATCCCAAAAAACAACCATGGCATAAAATGGAATTACGGGTATGACTTTTTGCATTTTTGCTTGGTATCTTAATATTTTAAAAAGTTTGGAAACTGACTGTGAAAGAAGATTCTTGATACAGATGTTTCCAATATTGTACTCTTAATATTTTAAGATAAGGGGAAGAAGTTAACTTAATAAATAGTCAAATGAAATTAGACATTAAACTACTTCTTTTTGCATCTGCTTGAGCAGATGAGGTGGTTACACTTCATAGCAAAATATTTCTCAAACAAGTTACATTGTGAAATAATAGCTTGTTTTGAAAGACTAAATTTCAGATACTTGATTTTGACATGTTCTGGCAGAAATCTGGTCCTTTCAGTATACCCCTATTTTCATGTTTCAGAAAGTTAGTACAGTCGTCTTAACTTCAGTGGTGGTACATAACGTTTTGTTTATTCCAGGAGCAAGAGCTGATGAAAATAGTTGGGATTAAGTATGAAGTGGGATTGCCTACTCTCTGCTGTCTTAAACTAGCTTTTCTTGACCCTGATACGGGTAAACTAACTGGAGGATCATTCACTATGAAGTAAGGAAAGCAATATTATATTCAAATTGGGGGCTTTCTTGCAGGGAGGAGGGGTCTGTGAAAGTTAAGAGATAACATGTCGTGACTTGAGCTTTTGCTTTTGAAGTGTTGAATTCAAAGTGTTAAATTTTTATGTAAGTGTTTTACTTTGTGCTTTTGCTGTTTTATTGCTTAATAGTTGTGTGTTCTGTTGCAATTAGGTACCATGATATGCCAGATGTCATAGATTTCCTAGTTTTGAGGCAGCAGTTTGATGATGCAAAACATAGGCGATGGAATATAGGTGAGTTGTGGGGGGAGTTTTTTAGTGTGGTTTTTTGTTTGTTTGTTTTTCTAAGTGTCTACCTATTTTCATGATGACTTATTAAAAAGTAGGTTATAGTAAATAAATCCTAATACTGTGCTGAAATCTGAAAATAAGCTGGGTCCATATTTGGATGTGAAGTCCTACTTTCTCCTTGACTGAAGCTACTGCAAGCAACCAAAATACTGAAGGTGATCTGTAAAAGAAAGTGCAAAGAAAATCTCAGTTTTGTCTTTACAGAGAGGAATTAAGAACACTTTTAGAAATACGGTGCTTATTGGTAACTGATAACTATATGGTAGCCTATATATTGCTTGTCTCTCTTTTTTTTTTTTTTTTTTTGGATTGAAGGCCCTCTTACAACTGCATTGCTACTAGTTTTTGGTTTTTTTTTTTTCTTCAATGTCTGGAATTTCTGCTGGAAATTTGAAATTTATGATCTCTACGTTGTACAAAGAGAATGCCCTTCCTATCTCTTTTTACTTGTTTGAATTCTGTTCTAAAACCCATATGGTTTAGCTTCTTTGAAGCGTATATAATTATAATTCACTGCCATGTGATGTGGGGATGGTTTTGATTTGTTTTACTTTGCCCGTGCTTAGTTATTTTGAAGTGTCAAATACTGGACAATGTCCATGACAGGCATGTCCTCCAGTCACATTTCTTTCCTAGTCACCTTCCCATATGATAACAAAGGTCACCTTTCAACAATGAAATTTAAGTAGGGGGAGAGAAAGCTGCATTATGACAAAATGTTTTCCCACAAGATCATGGCAGCAGTAGAAGAATGACTGCCATAGCTTGTATGTGAACAGCCTAGCCAGAAGTCATCTGTCAGCCATCATGATAGAAATCCAGGAGTAGAGGAGGGACTTTGATATATTACCCTTGCTGCTGTTAAGACTATGAGCACAGGTAGCATCTCCTTCCTGGGCTGGCAGCTGTATTTCTGGAAACTTGCAGAATCAGAGCTACACAAAAAGTATTGACAGTGCCAGAACCTTTTATCAAGCCTTCAGTGTAAATAACGTGTTTCAGGCCAGTGGTGTCTAATACCAGCTTGTAACTCTGACAAATGTGTGTTAGAGATCATTGTCAGTTCCTCTTTTGGATGGTAAAAATAGTGGTAAAATAGTCTCCTTCAAGATCGTATGCTAAAGTAGAGATAGCAAAGACACTGCTTTTAAAACTGTTACAGCTCTTTCAGGAGCCTTCCAGAGTACTACCCTGCTCTCTACATTGACACTTTGGATATTTTACTAGTGTATGCTTATGTACTTGGAACCAATTGTGCACTGTTTTGTTGCAGTGTGGAACACAATATAAAAATGGTCCTTGAGGGTAATTCATACTTTCTACCAGGATAAGGAGAAAAGCCTTAGAACTGTGCACGAAACTGTTCCTGAGTATTTAACCACGTGAATCTGAAATCACCAAGATTTATCTGACATGCTCAAGTCTTCTGAACTTTCACCATAGCTCTTCATCAACAAACTGATATTTTTTTCATGTCATGTAGTTGCTGGTTTCTCTTCTCAGGAACTACTGTTACTATCTTTTCTTATTCCTCTATGATTTCTGGGACTTAGCCTACAAATCAATATTTTTATAGTTACTATTTGGAGAGTCACTGGATATTAAATTTTCTGACTCCACTTTAAGTCATTAAAACATTGATCTTTTAAGCAATAACAATCCTTGGTGTTTTGGTGAGGTTTTTTGCGGGGTTTTTTTGTGGTGTGTTTTTGTTGTTGTTTGGGTTTTGTTTGTTTTAGGGAAGAATATTTGTTCATCTATGATACTTATATTTTTTAATATTAAATGTATTTTAATGTATGAATCCTTTCAGAAAGAACAAACTTAAAAAGTTTGAGAAGTGACAGGTTCTTATTTCTACTCAGATTCTATTTATTGCATATCTGTGTCTTATTATAGTTTAACTACAAGATTAATACTTGGCCTAAAAGCTATTCCAGTAGGATTCCTGCAGCTTTAGCTGTATGTCTTAGACAGGTGTGCATACCTATCTCTTACATAGCAGCCACTTTAAGTTGAACATACATTTTGTATTTTCATCAAGCTAACATTATCTGGTGATACACAATTCTGGAAAATTATGCTAAGTACTACTTCTAATAAGAATTTTTGGTCTGCTGTCCGCATAGATGAGGTAACACAGAGGACATTGGAAAAATAGTGATTCAAGAGATAGTTCTGTGGGCTTTTTCAGTCACGTTGTTTCCTCCTTTAGCATTCTGTCCATAGGAATGCTATGGCTCTTGAAAAATTGGAAGCGGCTGCCAGTATACACTTCTTCAAGTGGTTTTGATCTGCTTAATGTTCAGCCCCATGAAGGCACACACAGTTGTACCTACACACGTTTCTTTGTAAAACTGATCACTAGGGAATGCCATATTGGGAAACTGTACTTCAAGAGCTCTTCAGAATAATTTATTCCTTTAAAATAAAGTGTCAGCCCTTACTTACATTTTTGATCTTGCATTTCAGATATTTCTGGTTCTATTACATTCAGCACAATTAATGCTATTAATGGAAGCTTCGTAATTGTCCTAGAATTACTTGCAATCCATTCAATTTAAAAAAAAAAAAAAGTGCAGTAAAGAAAGCAGAACATTTTTGAGAATATATTTACTTCCTATTAATTCAGACAACTGCAGCAAGCATTTGGGCAGAGTGTGGATGTATTGAAATAGAACAAACATTGCAGCAGTTGAGAAAGTGTGTGTATATTCAAATCCCATGAAAACAAAAATGTGCAGTTCTTGGAATCTCAGACTTGAATTACATTTGTATTGAGCTAACTGAACACTAAAAATTGTTTCTAAATTCTGTGGCATATGTTACAGAAAATGATAGCCTTTGTGATGGCGTGCAATACAAATATTCTCACATGTAATTTTTTTTAATAACACTTCTGACCTTTTTTCTCAGCTAGGTGAATACTTTGCAGTAGTGAAACCATTTCAAGTCATAGTAAATTACTTTGTTAACCTTTTGAGGAGGCTTTAGTAAGTTTTATTCTTTTATCAGCCAGATTGCCTGCATAGTAAATGGAATGAACCTCTGAGTTGCATTTGGGTAGCTGAAAAAGCACTTCAGAAACTAAGGAGGGGGAGCTCAGCAGCATGTAAAATACTCCCCATACAAAAGTGTCACAGTGCTCAGATAGCATGTAGTGTTTAATGCAAGTAGATTTGAGTCTTAAAGTTATAGCATTGAAATGTCTTGTCTTTTATATGAAATTAAGAAATAAATTCATATATAAAGAGTATGTAGATAGATTTGCAAATCATTAATTGCTTTTTTAATGCCATATTAACTTTCATTTTAATTTAAAAGCAGCCTTCAGAAAGAATTTAATAATGTTTTTTTAAAAACTGAGTATGACTCATGTTTGCCTGTTGATGCTACAAGTGTCCAAAAGGATTTCTGTATTCAAGATCAAGCCAAAGGTATCTAAAAACTGCTTTTCTTGGGAGGAGTAATGTGCCTTGTATTGATGAAATTATTTTGTGTTCTTACCTAGGTGATCGTTTCAGGTCAGTGATAGATGATGCTTGGTGGTTTGGAACAATTGAAAGCCAGGAACCTCTTCAGCCTGATTATCCTGATAGCTTATTTCAGTGCTACAATGTCTGGTTAGCAAATTTATCTTCAAGCTTTTATTTTAATTGTTTAATTTCATTTGAAGTACTGACTGAGCAACTTGCTTTCATTAAATTCAGTCCTGCATCTCACTATACCAATTTATTATTATACTCTGTGGTATATAAGTAAGTTATGTTACAAACATAAAATAATTACATCTTTGAAGCAATATTAGTAGATAATTTCAATGTGGTTATTTTTAAGCTGGGACAATGGTGATACTGAGAAGATGAGCCCTTGGGACATGGAGCTGATACCAAGTAATGGTATGGTACATTAATAATATAATTTGCTTTAAGAATGTATTTGAAGAAGAAAAAAAATGTTGTATGGCTTTACCTAAATAATCCTGTTTCTCTTGGGGAGTGGGGGGAAGGCCAGTTGCATTTGAAGAACATCATGAAATCAATTATTAAACTAAAAGCAGATCAAGATAAATGAACTGCGAAAAAAAATACAGCCATACTTAGACAAACTAAGTGTCTGTGTTGGAAATAGAAATGTTACAAAAACTTGTAACAGATGATGTACAGTTAAAGTTAACTTTTTGTACAGTTAGGCAGGATTGAAGATAAACCTGTGCCCTATGTCAGCTTTGAGGAAACTGGCTGCTCTGAGACCTGTCAGCAAGCCTGCAGACGTTCAGTGCATTGAAGACGCAACATGTGCCTGTGAGATAGTTTGATAATAACAGGATTTGCTCCCTGTGTGGCCCAGCACGTGTAGCAGATAGACATGCTGCAGAGTGGACAGCATAGCATAGGCACTGTTCACAGACAAGAATGTAGTATTTCTTCTTTCCTCACTTAGGTTTTTTTTGAAGATTTCATAAAAGTCTGGTTAAAGAATGAAGTAGAATCAGCATTTTTTCCTTCTGTTTTCTAGGAAACGTTTGATAATATTGTCACTCATAAGTAACCATATAAGTAACTTATAACAATAACTCTTAATTCTTTTAAGTTCTTAATTCTTTTTCATTTTGGTTCAACCCTTCTTTTAATGGGTACCTTTTTGTCATAAGTAACAGAAGTTAGAGTGGTAACATGACTAAAATAATTAATTAAAATAGGCAGATAACCAAACCTGAACCTGATTTTTTTGCTGTATCCACAAATACTGACTTTTGTTTCACCTTGCTTTAAAAAAAAATTGTTCGAGAGGAGCACTTTGCATCATACTCTGAAAATCTGCTGTTACATTATGAATTGTCAAAATTGGTAGGTCCTCAAGAATACTAGGGTGATGGCACTTTTAATTTGCTTGCTCAGGAGCTCTGGTTTTAGCATTTGACCTCACAAAACTCTGACAAGGTGGAACCACTACCTGGAGCATGTTTTAGCATCTACATCAAAGTCATTATTTTAAACTCCATCTGAAAATCATCGACCATTCATTACCAAAATAATTTATTACCAAGAATTTTGGGTGTAAAAAAAACCAAAACCTAAACAAAACAAAAAAAACCTAAAACAAACTTCAAACTTCAACTGTGATAAGTGAGTGTCTTAGTTGGTTCTAAAATAAATTCTACAATTAGCTATTTGGAAGAGGATAAATCTTCTTTCATGGAGGACTTGTACACCAAACTGCATTGTAAGGATTTAAATTTAACATACAACAATATACAGAAAGGATACTGGATGCATCCAAAATGTCTTTGAGCGAATCAAGAACTATGCATTTGTTTTGGTTAGTAAAAAGATGTTATATATCTTCGAATTACAGGTATATGTATTACACAAGATACAAAGATTTATGTTTTATTTAGTTTTCATGTTACATTCTAGCTGTATTTCCAGAAGAACTGGGAACTAGTGTTCCTCTAACAGATGATGAACGTAGAACACTGCTCTACAAACCTCTGGATGGAGAGTGGGGTTCCAGGACCCGAGATGAGGAGTGCGACAGAATTATTGCAGGAATAAACCAACTCATGACTCTAGGTAAATCCTGAGTAATACGGGAAACATTTTTGTGTTATATTTTTCAGACTATGCTTATGTATACTTCTGAAATTACCAAAATGAATGTGATAAAATACACCTTTTACCTCTTGATTAACTGGAAGAAAACTTTCTCATTGCACATTTTTAAATTTTTCATATAGTGAGTACATATAAAACCCAAATTTTGTCCTGTTTTCAAAGGTAACTATTGCTTTTTGGTAGATAATTTGACATATGCTAGGGATTTGGGTTTTACATGGTAAAAACAAGTACTTGATTTTTTACTTTAGCTACTAGAATCTCTTCTTGGGGTTAAAATTGCAAACTTCATGATGAACAGAATATTAACTATATTACAAGCAGATAGGGAAAAAAAAACCTTATATACTTACTTAGAGAATGGATACCTATGTGTAGATTTCCCCTGTATTAGCCTTTTCTAATTCCCGTTTTCTTCCCCGCATTGCCTTAGTTGTGCAAAATGTTGAGGAAAAAGTAATTGATTAATTTATGAAAAGCCGCTTGCTATTTGGTTGTAGAGCAATTTACAGGCAGCTTCTGAAAAGGTCATCGTTAAAATTTTTAACGCATCACTGCAACATTTACATGATCAAAGATGGGTGTCTGAGATGGGAGATCCATCAGTGAAATACAAGCTGAATCCTAAGTCTTTTGTATGTTTTGTGATGAGCAAACTGTGTCAAGTCAGCAGCAGTCTTAGGTTTTGGAGTAACAGTGGTCATAAATTAAATATGTAAGTTGTCACAGATAATTTTTTTAAAATAATTTTTGAAGTACTTGAGGCAAGGTGAGACACATACGTTTCGAAAAAGCCAGAAAACTCTTAACTCTTGAAATACTTCTAATACCTAAATGTCTCACATTATGGCTTCTTTGGTGACATACTGAGTAAGAAGCTTCCCTTTGCAGAAAAGAAGGGAAATAATCTGTACAGTGTAGTAATCAGAATTATATTAAAAAAACTTGTGAGGAAATGAAATTTTAGTTGTTTCCACTGTGTCATCTAAGAGTAATGGTTTTACATTTTGCGTTACGTTGCGTGGCATACTGTTCAGTTTGGGATTTAGCTATAGCGTATGTGGTGCATATCGGTACAAAGTAGCAGTTGCTAGAACATTCATAAGAGTAAGTAAACAGCTTTTAGAAGAAGAGCAGTCTGTTTAGGAACAACATATTTTCTGTTTTTAAAGACTTTTGAGAGAGACTTTAAAGGGTTTTTTATATTTTTGTATTACGGTATTTTCCCTTGAGGTATAAAATGTTCAAATGATGTGTCTAAGCACTCACGGTGCTTCTAAGCACAGGAGGGAGAAGTTTGTGTAGGTGCACAGACCTAAATTGCTCAGCAGTCTTCTAGCATTATGGTGGATTGGTTTTAGAAGGCTTCTCTGCTGTTAGGTAGGGACAGGAGATTGTGTTTCTATTTTATTTTGAGTGTGGATTTTCCCCGTATCTTAGTGAGATTGAAATAGCACTGTAACTTTTATGGTAAGAATTTAACGCATTGCTTTGTTTGAAGATGAGAGAGTGGCAATAAAAAAGGAAATTAAATGAGTCTGTGTTGTAAATAACAATACTGAGTTACATGTCTTCATATATGTATAATTTATACCTTTAAATCTACTTTTCAAATGTGTATATTTTGCATGTGCTTGCCATGTCTCTGAGGAGTGTGGTGCTTCATGCATAACAGAATGAGTAGTCACTGCAGTGATTGTACTTACAGCATACACCTCAGCAAGCACTTTTATATGTAGAATATCACAAATTGTTCAGAATATCTAGAGTAGTTACTGTTATTTTGGGGAAATTGCTATGCATTTCAAACATGAAGAAATGGCATATGTTGCGGGGGGTGAATCTTGAAACTGCTAAGGGACTTTTGTGGTATATAACTTTGTATAATTTTGATTTTTTTTTTCCCTCCCCCCCTCCCCCCGCCCCCCAGATATTGCTTCTGCATTTGTGGCACCTGTGGATCTTCAAGCTTACCCAATGTATTGCACTGTTGTGGCATATCCCACAGACCTCAGTACCATTAAACAAAGACTGGAAAGCAGGTTTTACAGGTTAGATCCAAGTCTCAGTTCCTGCTGTGAAATACTGCCAATCATATTTTTGGTAGCTCTTTGTTTTGTAATACCCAACTAGGAGATGGGTACAGGTGTGCACTTTCTGTTTCCCCCATCTTCTATCCTTGATCTAGGTTTCCATTTTATAGAACTTTAAAAAGGATCGAACATCTCTTCTCCAAAATGTATTTTAGAATTACATGGCATTCATATTCCTGCTTATGCAAATGACTTGTTCCATGTGAGATTCAAATTGCAGGACCCAGAGGCTAGGTCAGTAAAATGACTTCTAGTCAAAAGGATTAAGTTTCCAGTTTATAATTTGTTTTAAAAATCTGTTTTTTAATAAGAGAAACCTTAGAAATATGTCAAGTGTTTTTGTCCTAATGCACTTTTTAAAAAAAAAAAAAAATCTTGCATTATCATTTAAGAAGCTACACAGAAAATAGCTTCTTAAATTATTGGCCTTGAAACTCTAGATTGTTGGACAGCAAAAAAAATAAGTTTGAACTTTTTGACATTGTTCTGACGTTTTTGCAATGATTGCAATTGCTGTATTTTTTGCAGTAAATATCTGTGTAGGAGTATGCTCCTTTAAATTATTTCTATTTCCTTTGGTTCTTGGGATATTTCTGGTTTGCAAATCAGTGTCTCTCTAATACTTCTTTTGAATAAACATGGACAGTGTTTTGTTTTGGGCCAAATTTCAAAGTTAATTTGTAGTACTTTATGCGTACTGAGTATTGAATTCTAAATTAAAATCACTTTTTCATTTTCAAAAAAACCCTGGTTTTTTATACATTATAATGCAATAATGCACATTTATTGTTCCATGCTTATTGTGCGATATAAGGTAATCCAGCTTTCACTTCTATAATGTACTACTTTGCAATCAGAGGTGGCGAGGACTTTTTTCTGGATTTTGTTTCTCTTGTCAAAAGAGTAAGCAGTTGTTTTTGGTAATCAGCATACCTTCTTCAGTAAATCCGGTTTTATTAGTTTGTAGTATTGCCAAGGTCTGGTCAGGTAATGAGCAACCACCTTGTGTTGTGCTTTCTGGTGAAATTTTTTTCTTTACCTTCTGCAGGAGGGATTGTTCAGATCACTTTTGATTTTGGTAGCTTTTCATGAGGCTTACCTTAGAACATACTTTTTCTCTTCCGAACCATGAGTCTTAGCATGCCTGTATGTTTTTAAAAAATGCAAAAGAAAACAGAAAAAGTAAGATCTTTCCTAGTCACTACTGGCATTGTATAGAACTAAATGCTGGACCCATAGACATGATTAAATTGCATCTAAATGCTTATGCTACACTAAACATGTTAAATGATCCCCTGCTTCACTCTACAAAACACTTGTGCAGCATTTCTTTTCATCATGTTTTGCTAGTATGAAAATAGAAGATTGTATATATTTGTAACTTCTATGCTGTCAGAGTTTTTATCTGAAACAGTATGTTTTTTGGGTTTTGGGGGTTTTTTTTCATCTTTTTTAGATTTGGGTTTAATTTTTTCAGTTAGTTTTGCTTTTGTGCGTTATTTTTCATAATGTTGTGGCAATCCTATAGTTAGGTCATTAAATCAGAGCTATGTGAGGAATTCTGATCGTTGTCTTATCTGTCGAAAAAATGTATACTTTTAATATTTTTTTTATTACTATTTTGCTAATCCTCAGCTGTGACTTAAGAGGGTGATACAGGGTGGGTTATGTATATCCTAAAAGAATAATAAAAGCTGAAGCGTCACAGCTGAGTTTTCCCGAGGAGTGTCAGCTGTATATTCTTAAAGCTTTTGGCATAAATTACTGCAGGACATAACATGAGAGCAGGAAGCCTGAGGAAGCTGCCTTCTGCTGGTCACATAGGGCAACATATTGAAATATGCATGTTTTCTGAATTAATGTAAAAAAATAATGAATGGGATAGTACATTGGAAGAAGGATGTAAGGCTTTTTTTCCTGTTTCATACACATTGCTAGAAATGAAGCCTGTCTTTCTCCGCCCCCCCTCCCCCCCTTCTCTCCTTTCATATACAGGCGCCTTTCTTCATTAATGTGGGAAGTCCGGTACATAGAACATAATACTCGCACATTTAATGAACCCGGAAGTCCTATTGTCAAATCTGCCAAATTTGTCACAGATCTTCTGCTACACTTCATAAAGTGAGTTCCTTAGTAGGTCTGTTGTTATTCCTGTCTCTACCAAGGTATTTAGCCTTTTTTAAAGTGAGATAGTTCTGCAGCTTGAATAAGCCTGTTGTCTGCTGTTGGGGCAGAAAAGAATAAAGCTTTTCTTGACAAAGAATACGTAAGTTTGCAAAACAAGATGAAGTTTTACAATACATTGATTGGCATGGCATTTTATTTCAAGAGACTTTCTGCTAAATGATAAAAATGGCTCTGTGTATCTTCATGGAGTGATAGATATATTTATAGGTAAGTTAGGAGTTCTAATTTTTAGTTTGAATATTGCCTATGTTAACATAATTGTGGGCATTTAATTCTAAAGTCTTTACAATTTATAATGGGATTGAAAATGGTGTTTGATATGCAAAATAAAAATTGGAGGCTTTGTAGTTGACAGAAATAGTAGTTGTCTTTCAGATGTTCTTTTTTATTATTATCCATAGAAAAATGCAATGAGAAATGTTTCGGATTTCTCAGAGTCAGTTGACACATCTGCAGACCTAAAGTTTGTAAGAAGAGCTTACCGAGTCTGTCCACTGCCTTGATTTGCTTGTAAACAGTGAATGCTGCTGTTCCCACCTTGTAGAAACAGCAAGATACTTCATTAGTTTAACAAAAATAATGACATTTCTAGTGATTTAGTTTCTCGGTGTTAAATTGAATCTTGTTCTTTTTTATTTCGAGTGTTCTTAAAAACATGAGAATTGCATTATGTGTTTGGAAATCTAGGACTTCAACTCCATACATAAATCTTTGATATCTTCAGTGCCTGTGATTTCTGATATTGGCTGGAGAGTGAAAGATACTTAACTGCTTCAGGTGTTAAAAGTTTTAGTGAAATACACCTTTAGGAACAGATACGTATCTAAAGGGCTTCTCTATTACTAATTTTGTTCTTTAACATCTTTGTCCTATGTGTTTTTTCTGATTAATTAAGCAGCTCAAGGTTTTTCAAAGTGTGTGTTTTTAATTGGCTTACCTAAATTAGTGCAACACATGGATATTCTTATTTAATAATGGCCTATAGCTTGTGTCTATTAATAAACTCATTTAAGTGAACTAGCAATGCATATAAAGCCCAAACTTTTTTTTTTTAGGGTTCTAACTGTAGGGTAGAAGGCCTAGACCATAGAAGGCAAACCCCATGGTTCTAACGAGAGTGAAATATCTAGATGCCTCTGAGAATCTTAAGGCTTAGTCTCCAAGTTACCTAAGTCTTCTAAAAAGCAGAAGATGGCTGGGGGAGAGGGTGTTGCTTGATTCTGTTTGTTTGTTTGTTTGTTTGTTTCCCCTTTCACCTTTTCCTCCAGCTGTTTTAGTGATGAACGTAGCAGGTTGTATAATGGATTACGATTCCAGCGTAGAGTTGCTGAGTGTTACTCCTTTTTTTTCTGGTGGTTTGTGTTGCTACATGGTAAAACACCTTTGGGCTTTCTTTTGTGTAGGAGTTTGCTATGTTACACAAGAATTGAAAATTGAAAATTTGTTTTGCTGATTTAATTATGCAGGTTTTTACAATAACAATGTTAGTCCTTACACAAATAAACATTACATTTCAAATGTCTTACATTGTGGGTGCTAATGTATTAAATTGCACTTTTGTACGCTAAATCCACTGTAGCGTTTCTTACAAAGCTAGATGGGCCCCAAAGCCCTTTATGTGGTACAATATTAGATTTTTTTCTAATGCTAATAAATTCATGGTAAAGGATTACAATTTTTAATTTTAAGACATTGACTCTGTTTAAGTGGTCTATATTTTACAAACTGCAGATATTTTACAGCTTATTGAGCAGAAGCTTAGCTTTTCTTATTACTGCAGTCCTCTTAGCATTCATATAGCACTAAACACTTTATCCTTTTATTTGGGAATGGCTTCCTTATCCTAGACAAAATACAGTTGATTCCATAGGTGAAGATGGAAAATAAATGTTAGTGTGTATTTCTTTTTACACAGAGACCAGACTTGCTATGACATAATTCCATTATACAACGCAATGAAGAAGAAAGTGTTGTCTGACTCTGATGAGGTAAGTGGTTGTGTCTTAGACGTTGGCATTGTTAGACTGGAGAAATGGGATCACTGTCTCTGTCCTACTGGACATGAAGGTACTGGTTTCAGTTGCTGTAAGGGAGTGGGGTGTACCTTTCTGTCAATTTAATGTTTCTTTTTGTCAGCTGGGAAACTGGGTAAAAATCCAGCGTCCTCTCCTCCTTTAGTGCAGAGAGAGCTTTAACAGTTTACTGGAGAGTTTAGATGCTTCTTAGACTTCTGAGAGGTTCTCAAAACTGATGGTCACATGAAATGCTTCCTAGAGGGACAGGGATAGAACTGTAAAAACTCAAATTACAAGTGAAGTATAAAAGAACTTATCTACTCATATATGCTTATATTTTTTTAACCTTTTTATGTGACTCATTATCTTGCTCAAAGGAAGAAGAGAAAGATACAAATGTGCCAGGAACTTCCACTAGAAAAAGAAAGGTAAATTTTTTTTTTTTTTTTAATGATTTGTAGTGCTATAAATAATTCGAAATGCATTTGTAAACAAAGGAATGTAAAACTGAAAATGTTTTTATTATCGTGTAATGTCAGCTTTTGGAAAGTTTTGAACTTAAAGTGATGTGTTGGTCTACTGAGCTGTTCAACGTAAAAGCATTTCTGTCTGTGCTGCTGTGTGTTATGAATTCATTAATTAGAATGTATATCCCGCAGGGTACCTTTTCCAATAGATTTTGTGAAAACAGCTAGTTTGTTTAATATATACCAGACAATATTGTCATTTCAGGATCATCAGCCAAAGCGGCGGCTACGTAATAGAGCTCAGTCATATGACATTCAATCATGGAAGAAGCAATGCCAGGAGCTGCTGAATCTCATTTTTCAGTGCGAAGACTCTGAACCGTTTCGACAACCAGTGGATCTCCTTGAATATCCAGTGAGTATTTTAGAGCAGGAAGGCTTGTTATAATCCAGTTGTTAGGTGGTGATTTTTTTTTTTCCAGCTGTGACCATTTTTCCAACTCTTTTAATTGAAACTTCAGGCAGCTCTATTGACAGAATTTTTTTCAGTGCTTGGTTGTCACCTGATAATAATGTTTATTGTCTTTTTTAAAGTAATACCAAAAGAAATTGTACTTCTCTACTCTCTTAAACACTTCAGTTGCAAAATGTTTTATATTCAGGGATGCCTATGTTAAGTAAATTACAGCTTTTGCAATTAAGATGCCTCTTTCCTTTCTGAGTGAAAAATGGTCATATATGAAGGTGCATATGTTTGGTTGTTGTATGTGACAAATGTCATGGATCATTTTTTGTTTTCATTTCAGAAGTATAAAAGCTAAAAGTAATTTTCATATCACAGTCTTCTGGGCCTGATGCAGAAAAAGTACCCACTGAAGAACTGTAGTGAACCATTAACTGTAGTAACAATGACTTTCCCAAATTTCGCTTTTTGCCTGAGTGATTACACTGGAGTTCAGATAGCCATGAGCAGCCATTTGTAACTACAGAATATTTTATCACAAAAGTCTTTTAGCCTTTTAGGCTAGTTTTACTTCTAAGAAACAAAGCAAAGGGTTTGCATGCTTCCCGTCTAGCATTTTAAGTTTTTCTTAAAACTATCACTCTAAGGTGATTAACTTGAGGGAAATTAATTGTCCCAATTAAAGAAAAGAAATGCTTCTCTTTTGGAAGTCACTAGTAGGTCTGTTTTGACACTTCTGCAGCCATTGGGCACCATAATTTTTGAAGTAACCTAAACTTTATGCTGTGGCCAACTACAAGTGGCCCTTTGTGTTTGAGATCCTCAAATGAGCTGATACAGAGCACCTTACTAGGCTTGGGCATGAAACACTCTGCCCCCTGGTGTCACAAACCTGTTTAATGTTCAGAGGCACTCACACGGGTTTTATTTGCTCTGATGAATTAAGTTAACTTTTTTTGGTTAATTTTGGTATTTAAGCTTTTTGTCATATGGGTATTCCTCAGTTTCTTCCATAGCCTAGAAAAGAAAGTTCTGTCATTGGCTTGAACAGGGTCGTATTTAAGCCTGTGGAGTTTTCATTATTTTAATAGTATTTTCCCAAATTGTCAGGTCTCCATTTGGGAAACTGCTCAGGTTTCAGCAGGGGTGTGCTAAGCCTCTGATCAGGTTCATATATTCAAACTTCATATTTTAAAGCTAGTATGTAAAAACAGTATTAGGCTTAGTACCAAGTTTGAGCTGTTAAGCCACCCAGAAAGCTTGCAGTCACACTTTCATATCATGGTTATCTTCATGACAGTATGTCAGTAATATAACCCTTAGGACACAAAATTTTGAGCTCTGTATTTCAGTAAATCTGTTTACAAAATGAATTAAATCTTGTATCAGTTAACTTCTAACCTTGTTGCTGTCAAGTATGTCTGTGAGGAGTTACGTTGTGTATGAGTAGAAAGGAGGAAAACGTCTTTAGCAGTCTTCCATACCTATTTAAAGAGGACATCTGGTTTAAACAGGTTTAAACAGGTTTATCAAATGCATCCTAATGAAAATGATACATTAAGACTTGGGAAAAAAGATTTGTAATACATTGCTGTGCTATTTCTTAACAGGATTATAGAGATATTATTGACACTCCTATGGATTTTGCTACTGTTAGAGAAACACTGGAAGCTGGCAACTATGAGTCACCGATGGAGTTATGTAAAGATGTGAGACTTATTTTCAGCAATTCCAAGGCCTATACACCAAGTAAAAGATCAAGGGTAAGACTTTATTTTCTGTTCTTTGTTGTTTGAAAGAATACTTATATCTGAAAAATACAAGACAGAAAAACAGAGAGACAGTGTAATTGATTACTTCAAAAACAAGTTTAATTATTTCTGATCTCCAAACATGAATTTCTGGGAAAGTAGTATAGCTTTGTATTTTAAAGGAGAAGAACGTATACTGTTTAAATGCCTAAAGTTCTGATGTTCTGCAAGTGTGTTTCAAAAGTAAGTATTTGCAAGTGGATCTAAAGGGAGAGCCACATTGAAGGAAAGATCTGTAGAAACGTGATTGTGGGTGCAATAGTGGAACTTAACTGATATTTTGGGGAAGAAACTAGATTTTCAAAACACACACACACACGAGCCCCAAACTCCTCCACTTTGGAGGTTGCCCAAATTGAAATACCCAGGTATAGAGAGTAGACCATAATGAAATTCTATGCAGTTCACCAGTATGCAGTGAGGTTAGTAATGTATCAGTAATGAAGCACTTAAGATTTCTGGGAAACAGAACTGTTTACATAAAGCATGAGTCTACAAAGCCATTCTTACTGAGCTGATACTGAAATGTCCTGCCAATGGTAGAGTTAATAATATTTTCTCTCAAATTGGCTTGTAGGTGCAGTATCTGTTAGCAGTGAAAGTTATAAATATATACTTACACATGTTTAAGGCTTCTGTGTAGCTTTTCTTCTACTAATACTCATTAGGTGTTAGACTAGAATTATTAATAGCTTTTATGTTTGGCTGTTGTAAATAGCAATTAATCATCAGGACTTTATTGTCTTTAAATGCAGAGACAAATTCCTTAGTAAGAGACTAGCAAGAAGGACTGATCAGTGACTGATCTCTCTTCAGTCAGTAATAGACCCGCTCGCTGTTCAGCTTGCCTAAGAATCAGTCTCTTGCCTTTCGGTTGCATCAAAGGGCAGGGCTTTTGGGGCAGGTCTGGATTCTTTTGTGGTTTTTCTTTCTCTTCTTGATCTCTTCAAACCAAAATAGGAGAATGCTTGACATTGTCTTAGCTCTGTGTGGTTTCACGGGTTCTTCTGACATTCTCATATTTTTGCATGTTTCTTCCAAACAGACTGATGTAATAGTAAACTTGTAGCTCTTTTTTATTTTACTTAGAAGTAGAAGTGGAAGGTCTGATGTCAAGAATTCTGACAGAACCTATGTACTTTCAGTGCATGTAATGCATAGTTGTTGAATGGTGATGTTTTTAATCTGACTTGTCATTTAGTGATATTTTTAGCATCTTACTTTACATCACTGATGCTTCCTTGAAGAGTAAACCTAAACCTGTCAGCTTTTTTTTTCCTTGGCACATTAGACGTACATTTTTATATAGTTTTTTACATATTTTCTTATGAAGTTTCTTTGGATGTGCATGCAGAATCTGTCACACTTACTGTTTAGTCTGGCACTCAGATAGTTTGTCTGGTATGTCATTAGGTAGGCAACTGTTTAATATTGTCTTTGTGTTTCATATTCTAAGAAGGTGCTGTGTCCCCTTTTAAAGTATCTAGACAGTTCACTTCTGTGTTGTTTGTTTCCAGAATTAATAGCAACTGTGCTCAAATAATTAGTTGTGATCTAAACTGAGTTTGGTTGGGTCTCTCTGTAAATCATCCAAGGCTAGAGGGGGAAAAAAAAAAAAAAGAAGAAAAATTAGACCCTACATAATTCTAATACATTTATTGTACCTGTTGCAACCAAATCACTGGTAGTATCAATTCCTCCATAAGAGGAATAGACTGATGTTCAAACATAGGATATAAGGATGCAACTTAATACAGAAGAAAACTAGATTTCTTGACCCTAGGTATGATACAGTAAAATTCCGTTAAGGATCTCTCTTTGTGGTTCCTGCTAAAAGGGATGCATTCTGGAAGGGCAGTTGAAAAGGGACAGTTGGAAAGGTGGCTTTTCTAATTTTTCCTTTTGTGTGTGATCTTCAGTTGTAATACACTTAAAAACCATGAAAATAATTAAAGCAAACCTACACATGGATTAGTGTAAATTTGTTGAGACAGATTGTAAATTTCCTTAAAACATTTCCATATTAATCAGTTTCTTCTTCTAGCTATTGTTCAATGATAAGTAAGTAAAATGATGCTTTGGAAAAGTATAAAACTTGCTTGTTTACTGGCTTTTATTTTTTAGATCTACAGCATGAGTTTGCGCCTTTCTGCTTTCTTTGAAGAACACATAAGTTCTATTTTATCGGATTATAAATCTGCCCTGCGGTTTCATAAAAGAAATACAATAAAGAAACGAAGGAAAAAAAGAAGTAGAAGCAGCTCAGTTTCCAGTAGTGTGGCATCCAGGTACGTTAATTCCTTTACAGTATTCATGAAATGCTGCGCATGTTTGACATACCTAAACAGCAGAACTTAGTGTGGTTTTTTTCTTAATGCTTCCTTTACTATTCCCTATATTGCAGAATGATAGCTTTGACATGCAAGTCCCTATGATGTGGAAGAGTTTTAAACTTTACTTAGAGCTATCCTAGTGTAAGTGCTTAAAATTCAAATAACTGCTAAACATGTACAGTAAAACAGCATCGTTAGGATAGTGATGGCATTATGCTTTGTCATGTAACTATAGCATTTATTGTAAAGATTCACTTTTCAGAGGCTCACAACTACATGAATTTCCACAGTAAATATCATATTTTTAACATACTTCATACAGAGATGATTGTTTTACTCCCACGATCTCAGACACTAGCATTTAATTTTATTTATTCCTGTAAAATAAAAAAGTGGTCATCCAGGATACAAATTGTTACTCCTTTTGCAGCCCTGAAAGGAAGAGGAGATTAATAAAGCCTCAGCTGAAGGCAGAAACTTCTGCCATCTCTTCATCTTCTGCACCTGCACGGTCAACAGCATTGAGACATGCTCCACCTCAGATGAATGGAAAAGCAGCTGAAACGTCTTCCCTTGTGCGGACTAGAAGCAATAGGGGAATAACAGATGTGGCTGTTACAGAGCAACCATCTACTTCTTCAGGAGCAAAGCCTTTAACAATAAAGCCTTTAATTACAAAGCCTAATACTACTGCAGGGTCAGGAAAGTCAGGCAAGTTGTTTTTCTTAAGCTGTGAATGTTTTTAAACATAAAACTTACTTTTTGGGTATCTAATGTATGTGTCTCAGTTAAGACTGGTTCTGTTTTCAAGCTGCTGGGCCTTTGTGGTTCTTCAGAGGAAAACTGAACAAGTTAGGCTATGTTGTTTTATCCAGGAAGCTTTCTCACTTCTAGATCAGTGATTCAAATTGTTTGTAGTAGAACATGACTTCCTTTTTAGCCAGATAAGATTGAATGTGGTATAAACTACTTAATTTGAATAATTTTTTTTTTCTTTTTGTCCTTCTAGTACTGGAGAATTCAACCAAACATTCCAAGAACCAGAATATTGTATCAATCCCTAGTCAATCTGATTACAGTCATAACACTAGGAATAACTCCACAAGAGAAAATCCCGAGAAAGAGAAGCAAATCAAGCGCAAAGTAAAATCTTCTACCGTTAATCAACAAGGTATGGAGTTTCTTTGGAACTTCTCCCTGCCCCCTGTCTGTGTGTGTGTGTGTGTCCCAGTTATTGATGTGGTGGCTGTAGTGTTGTATTTTAGTTGTGATAATTTGGGGTTGGGGAAATCAGTATGCATTATGATTTAGCAGAATAGGGAAGTCTAATGGAACAACTCAGTCACAGTTAGTTTCCTTCTTGATAAATTAACATGGCTTTGACTACTCTTAACACCATTTCCATGGTGTGATAACTGTGTTGTCTAGCTGATTTTGACATGTTAACATATCTGTACCTTCATTTAAATTATTACAAGGGTCATGCTATGAGTTCTCAGATTCTGAAGCAAACTTTTGCAGGGTCACATTTTAAACCCTGTGGGTTTTACCTAATAAAACTTAATGGGGGTTACATTTGGGTCAGTAACACTGAGTGTGATGACACTCTCCACAACCATGAGCATGAAGATCAGAGCATCCCAGCTGCAACTTTGTTCTTCGATTTTTTTTTTTTTTTTTTTTTTTTTTGCCACAGCAAAATAGAACTATGCAGTGTTTACTGCATCTGTTTAGTATATTTGTATGGATTGATCGGACCTAGTTTCATGTAATCTTCTGACTGAACTTGCTTGGTCTTTTGATGTCTGGATACCTTAAAACTCAAAGCTTCTGTGGAGACTGAAATAAGACCTCCTAGTCATAAAAGCTTTCCTGTTTATGAAGGAGCTTTGAACTGTTAGGAAGCTGCTGTGAAGCAGCTAGATCCATTAAGCATCTTTTCTCTGAAGATGGAGAAACAGGAGTCTGCAAATTGGGTCCCACCAAATTAATCTAGTTACTCGTTGTAGTCCTCCTCTCCTTGAGGATTATCTGTTCTTTCTTACTCTTCCATGCTTCTGAAAAAGCAGCTTGTGGTCTGATAAGTTAAATCATCTGTCCATTCCTTGCAACCTTTCTCACAAAGGCCTCAGCTGTTACCACATTGCACCTAAATATGCACCCATTATACGACTGGATGTCGTGTCAGAGGCATCTGAATGTTGTTGACGTGATCCTTTCTCTCCTGCATATCGACTCATGTGACAGTGGAGGCCTATGCTTTTACTGCAGAGTGTGTGGAAGATAACTTCTTGACGCA